CAGAAATCTTTTAATTCAGATTAATATATTTTTGAAAAATACTCATCAGCAATAATGGATTTCATAGCCATCCTGGAGAAGGAGATAGAGAGAAAACAATGTTATGATTAGGAGTTTAACATATAAATTACTTGAAATTCACATTTCAGGACTGATTTTATTTTACTATTGACGATTTGATTTGACTAGCTGCAGATAACTACAGCTAGGCCACACACTGAGCAACAGTGCCCTGAAATACCTGCAAGTATTTCTGGATATACTGGAAAACAGCAAGTTTATGAATGCTCTTATTGTGGTTTCTGTTGTTTAAAAAATAAAGGGTTTGACAGCTATAGAAGATGCTAAGTTGTGATTCATATGTGTTGATTTGCAATAGCAGCTAGAAAATTACATTGTCACCATGAATGTTAATTGATTGGGAGAACAGAAGTTATTTGCCTAGATTAAGAACAGTTTAAGTTTCAAGGTCTTCACTTTTTCTGGGCTTCATTGCTCATGTAAAAGCCTTTTTCTATATTGTATCTTGCAGATGTGATTCTAACTTCTTTAGGTTTACATACAATAAACCTATTTATTATCTTGATTCCAGGAAACTAGGTCACACAGCTGTTGCATATGGAAGATTTCCCAAGGTTACTGGTGATTAGAGAATGCAGAATTCTTCATATTACCATAAGAGAGTTTAATTTACCTGAAGAACATTTTGGTTTTAATTAAAAATTTTTATGGCTGTTTGGTTTCTGGTACTCTCTGCTAATCTAATGTTTTCACCTGGCATCTTCCCAAATTGCTCCTGTTTTTAATAGACTTCTCCTTAATGCTTTAATGGCTTTCGCCTCTGTTTGTCTTTATCTGTTAAGGCTTAGCTAGGGTGAATTTCAATAAAAATCTTAAATTTAATGATTTGTTTCCTTATGATGAGTATCTTTTTTCCCTTTACAGAATTCTGGTAAAATTCCAACAGACATCTTGTATTCCCTCATAAAACAATTTTCTATAGGGAAGATAATAAATTGCCTGTATTTCTTTTAATATTTATCCCTGCATTTCAAATCTAAAGATTTTGTAATCCCTAGTCCTAGCAATTCACAGACTTAATTTTTCACATTTGTGCAATTCTTGGAATTAGGTCTAACATAACTTTCAGCCAAGTTGGTTGTTCTGCAGACTATATGAATAGCACTTGTACAGTATCTTCAGATAATGTTTAACTTCCTTGATTTGTACGTGGCTCTTTTGCTTTCAATAGCCAAGTAATTAAAATCTCACCAGGGTGAGAAATCTGGCTTTCATCCAGAGCTTTTCTGTCTCTGAAAACATTTTCTGATCTAGTTTCTATGATTGCCCTGGAGGACTATAGCAATATATGAAGAATGTCACCTGACTTACTACTTTTATTCTTCTTGACAACTAGCCAAATGGTCTGATCCGTGTAATCACAAATATTGTATTGTGGTTCTTAGCAGTGTAAATTGTTTCTAATATGGCCTTTCCCATTTACCTTCTGTGTTATTCCTTTGGTAAATTTTGCATTCAGATCTTTCAAATCACCAGTAGTCTTTACATTTCAGTCATGTCCCTGTTATACCAATAATGACCTAGATGCAGGGTTGGGGTTGTGTTAGCTGGCTGAGAAACAATTCAGACGATATTTATGTGCAGATAGATAATCCTAATTTTTTTTCATCCTTTTTTTTTTTATTCTACATTCAATCAACGCACCTCTGATTTTTAAATTTGTTATTTGCATTATTTGTTTTCAACAATTTTATTGATTTGGACTTAATGTGTATTTAGAAATGCCAAAATCATAGATCTTCAATATAGATGTGTAACTACTGCTGCTTTGAGTATTTTTGGATATTTGACTCATACATAAGATTTAAACTTCCAGAATCAACTAAACACATTTCACAGTGCACTCAAAGATAGTACAAGGGCAATATGTTTTAGTGTATTTTAAACCTGCATATGTTCTTGAAGTGCTTTGTCACTTGAAACATTAGCCATCTGCCAGTAAGCTTCTCTTTGTAGGGAAGATTATTGCAGAGGTTGTAGTGAAGCAGCATTAGTGTCATTGTGTGACCTCAGATCTCCTTGATCCTTTTTAATCTGGTTTCAGAGTTAGTGTAGAGATTTCAGCAGACTCATTGGCTGATCTCCTCCTGGTAATAGTTAAAAGTTCTTGAAGATTCTTTTAAATCTGTCCGGGATTTTATGATAACAGTACAGGCTTTTTTAATTTGTCAGCAAACAGTGACTGAAATTAGATTCTTGATATTAGGGTTTCCGTTCTTCTCAGTTTCTGATGGTTATGCAGTTATCATCTACAGGAGCGACCTCTAATACAGGATTCCACAATGTCTGTTTTTAAGCTCTCCCTCTTCAACACTGGTCTGCAGGTGGTCCTCATAAAGACCATGAAGCAGTCTGAGCCATAGGATAGCAAAACGGAGAGGGCAGAAGGCTCTTGCCTCTGTTCTTTGCCTGTGCCCTGCCAGACTTCTTTCCTGGTCGGTTGGTGAGTTACTTATAACTAAGCTGTTAAAAGTTCAATCTGTAGGTTGTTTCTTTTTTTTTAATTACCTTTTTTTTAAAAAAAAAAAGGATTATTTTTCCTTTGTTTTTCATTCCATAGCTCTAGCATAAGATTTATGAACATATGAGGGAAATGTGGCTTTTCAGGTAATTTGTCTAGGATCTAATATTATGAGGATGCTACTGAAATCCTGCTGCCAATAGTGCCCAAGAATATCCTAGTTTTGTCTGGAACTCGCAGGGCAGTTGTGGCCTTTCCATCTTTTGATTAGTTACAATAATCTAAGTTTTGTTCATTTTGTTCATTTGTTCATCTGAGTAGATCCCTGTAGTATGCTCTGTGTGGGTTACTCACCTTTGTTTAATATCCATTTCCCTCTCTTTCTGATGCAGTTCACTGAGCTTTTGCAGGTCTATAAAACATAGAGTGTGTCTCCTTGAGGAAGCCCTCAGGGTATTTAAAATTAATTGCCAGTCTCATTTTTTTGTGCGTGTGTGTGTGCTGGAAACTTTAACATCCTTAGACTGATTATCTCAGCCCTCACTCTTCAAGTCTTGGAGCTCAGTCAAGTTGACAGACTGTGCTCAGTTCACTTGGTCTATCTGGCCCAGGTTTTCAACAAATCTAATCAATCAAGAACAAACTGTAGAATTTTAACCTTTTACTAAATGTTTGGGGTGTTTTTGTTATGCTTTAAAATGAAAATCAATCTATTTCTGATGCGCTTGTTTTCAGAAATGCCAGCTCCTGACTTGCTACCCATAATTACAGTGCTAGAACTACAGTTAAACAGAGTTAGTGTTTAACTCACCTGAATGTGAATAATGAATAAGTAGAAAAGAAAGAAAATCAAAATGCCCTGAAAGTAACACATCTGTCAAAATTAACTGAAAACTATTTCCCAATGAATTGTACCTTGCTTGAAATGTGGAATGACATTGTTTATAACACAAATATTTACTGAGTCAGTAAATGATAATGAGATGCTGTAATGTATGTATTGAATGTGGTATTTGGTCTCAATTTTGGTATTCATCATAAGCTTTATACAATATAGGGTTTCAGTTCAAATACATCAACTGCTTTTAATCTCGCAGTGAGACTTTATAGATACAAAAACTGTAGAAGTAAGGCCAAAAATCTGCTTCATTCCATCAGGGGCAAGATTTCAATATTGACTGTTAATCCAAAGTGTCACCTGTCATTATTTGTTTTCATGCCCTGAGTCATTGGCAGGCTGCTGTATAACAGAGACATGTCCTCCATCTTGATCATTTCTCTCACCATCAGGCACATTTTGTGGTTTGCTTTTTTTTTTGGTAAATTTGTTTTTCTTTCTTTCTGATTAAATATTTTTCAAATCCTAGAACAGTTTTAAAAGCATTTACTTATTTTCTTTGATGTCTGAAATGTTGCTACAGTCTCCTGGGTAGCAGTGGCAATGTGGTCTGTTCTTTGTCTTTTAGACTGGCACAACTGCAGTGGTTTACACTTTCTGCTAGAGTAGATTGGTGAAGCTGGCTTGATGGGTCTTGAGTGGAGGCTGGCCTGATTTGCTCCTAATTTCTCATTCCCAGTGATTAGTGTGTTGTAATTTTAAGAGCTGTTCTACAATGCAAGATATTCCAGGGAATTTGAGCCTGAAAAGTGGTGGTCTGTATGCATGGACCAAAAACTCATCAAAAAAATATTAGGGTTGAATGAAAAGGACAGTTTGCTCTCTTATTTGGAGGAGCACTAGGATTTGAATATTCTTTTCTGATTTGCTTTCGGGTATTATAACCATGCTTCATATTGCTATGTATGTGATGTATGTGTATGTGATAAAAACTATAGTTAGTATACTGCAATTTGTTCAAATGTTACTATTTTCTACATCTGATTAAAAAAAAAAACCAAACCTTGCAAGGATATCCTTTTCTTTATGTCTATTTTTTATATGGTGTTGCTTCAATAAATCATTGCCACTCCTGCTAATAAGTACATTCTTATAAAAGGTAATCTTTTAAATTACCGAACCACAAATAAACACATATGCTGCTTTAGAGGTTGTTTTTCTTAACAAACATATTAACAGAAATGAAAAAAGGTCAGTTTTGGCTTTTCTTTTTTTTCCAGGCTAGTCTGTTCCTAATCTTTAGAAAATGTCTTCTGCTTTTCTAGCCAGATACACTTTCTAAAGTGGATAAGCACTGTCAGATTCAACAAATATTTTTGAATTTTGCTGCTTTAATCATATGGTAGTATGATTCTACCTGAAACATCCTCTATCATACCATGTTAATGGGTAAAATTAGAGTTTAATATATATAGGAAGCCTGTATTTTTGTATAATTTTTTCATAGAATAAAAAAATAGGAGTATAGATATGTCAACGGCTTACTTTTAACTTCCTTTAGTTATTAAAATTGTATGCATACCAGAACGTTTACTTATCAAAACCATTTATTTCTTTTAGGGTTTTTAGGAACCTCTTGTGAAGAAAAAATAGACCCTTGTGCGTCATCTCCCTGTCAGAACAATGGAACCTGTTACACAGATAGACTTGCCTTCTCCTGCAGTTGTAGTCCTGGATTTACAGGACCTACATGTGCTCAGCTGATTGACTTCTGCGCTCTGAATCCTTGTGCACATGGCATTTGTCGCAGTGTTGGAACCAGCTACAAATGCCTCTGTATCCCTGGTTTGTACCAGTTATATGTTTTGTAAATCTTCTGATATTTTTATATGTAGGTTCCAATATACAGTTTAAAATTACTTCCTTTTTTCTTTTCAGTATATAAAACACATTGAGCAGATGTTCTATCTGTTTAGAATAATGATAGGAATCTACACGTTACATTTGGAAAATGAAAAATTGCAGAGTGAGCACTGAAAATACCCACTGAGATCCATGTGGCTTGGTTGATATCTACAGCTGTATTATAAAACTGTAGTCTGCAGGATAAATCTTTTTAAGGTGAGGTATCAGCATCATTGAAATTACAGAATTTGGTAGAGAGAATGGGAAATATGACACTGATCATATGGGAAGGAGTGGAAACAAACAAGGTAGCTGAACAAAGGTAGAGAAGGAAAAAAAATTGGTTATCCCAAAGGGTTTAGTTCTGCCATCCACGTTTACACAAATTATCTCTTTTCAGAAGTTCCAGCGATACTGCTTAGGTGAGTATAGCTAGTAGACTCAGCTGGTAACTGTTCGATAATATAGCCTAACAGTGCATGGTTTCTGGGTTGCATTTTGCTTAGCTCTAGATTTTTTGGTTCATTGTACCAATGTAACAGAATATTGGGGTGCTTATAGCTCCCTTTATACATTTTAGCAATGATAATAGGTGAAGTAGCAATTAGAATGAATGATATCATGTGCTGCACATCCACTACTGCTTAAGCACTTACAGAGTGAAAACCAATCATCTTTTCATTTGAATAATTTTGGAACTTTTTTTAAGTCTGTTCCTATAAAGCTATAAACTTGAAAACTGCAGAAGTTAAGGGGAAAATAAATCCCCAGTGTACAAGGGATAAGCTAAGGAGTGATATCGGGTAGATAGTAGCTCTACATATACATAACGCTGTGACATGCATGTTGTTCTACGAAGTTCCATTCACAGGAATACCTTCTCTTTGCTGCTTTGCCTTGCCTTGTGGGAAACTAGTTGCAATTCCCCAGCTCTTTTTCCTTCCTTCTCAGTTAGCAGGGTGTGGAGGTATCCTACCAATCACAAAGGTTTTGCCTGAAGTAGGCAAGTACTCCTGTAGGTGGTGAGTCTGAACACTAGTACATGCCACATCCAGATATTTTCTTTTTAGCCTTCTTTAGTGCATAGAAAGAAGTCAGCTGCTTTCTCTTCCAGAAAGTTTCCTTTTCCTCCCAAGAAAAAAGCCCACAGTCTGTTCCTAGAACACTTCAGATTAGGACAGTGAGGCTTAGGACAAAAAGATAGTAAAATAACTGTTCCATTTTACTTCCATGTATTGGCATTTTGAGGAAGAAAGATGTCACTGCTTGCTGCTTCTGCTTCTTATGGCTTTAGAGCAAGGTGAAGCATAGAGAACTCTCCTATTTTCCTTGAAGAGTGAGCTTTTATCTAAGATTCTGTAGCCTGTAAAACTGGTATCTCATCTGAAGAGAGATCCCTGAAGACGCAAGAATTACCAGCTAATGTCTTTGTCTTGGATGGTACATTGAGTGCACACTTCAAAGTGTTGCTTTCAGTAACTGATGCATGTGATCTTCAAGGAAATTCCAGATGTTGAGAGTAAAGTTTGAAACTGCTTAAGGATGAAAGCATTCATCACTTTGTAGGAATAATGGATTGATTTTTGAAAACAAGCCATCACTCATTAAATCAATAAATGTGGTAAGAACAGGTTTCAGTGTTATGAATACCTCAGCATAAGGCATCGTGTTGTGTAGCAAGATTCTCACTGATGTATGCTAACCTGAGAGGGACCCCACACCATGGTTGTGTGGTTCACAGTTTTATGGCTGAAATTTTCTTCTTGCAGTGCGTTTTGAATTTTGGAATGAAGATACTTTTAGTAATAGGTTAGACAGCTGGCTATATAGTACTTAGGGCAGTTACAAAGTTTGTGCATATATAACACAATTATCCTCATCCAGAGCATGATACAACAGTGAAGTCTGTTTTGACTATATGTTATAAAGCCTGTTGAAAAAAGGTAATTTTTGAAACTCAGTTCAATGAGCAGTCCTAACTTTTCTAGACTGTCTAGTTTTCTTACATTGATTCTGATAGGTCTGAATTTAACTGGTATAGAAAACACTAACCTTCTGTGCATTTTGTCTTGAGTTATTTCTCCACCAGAATGGATTAGTTTTATTTGTGGATATGGGGAGTTTGTTATGAAATCTACTAATGCAGCATTTTTAGGAGGTGTCAGAATTAATCACTGCTATTTAGAGACAGGGAAAGGACTATCAGAAGTTGTTTTTTGGAGAGATACTCACAAATCAACAGAAGCTAGTGGAAATTTTTAGTTTAGATTTGACAGATTTATAATTAAATTACATAACTCTTTATAAAAGATAAAAATATGAAAGTGAAATGCAGACAATACCATAGTAGTGTTATCTCATAATTCATTTGTTGTCCAGCAGATGTGAATTTATACATACAGGATTATAAGAACCTCATGTAAGAGCTTTAACCACTGAGACATATTAACTTATTTAACAACAACAACAAAAAGGAAGCCTACATTTTATGGACAGTTTTTCAGGAAGCATCCTCAATTCTTCTGCTTGCAACTGGTCAGAAACCAGAGGGTAGGTAGATTTTTGTGGCAAGATAGGTCCAGGTGTTTCGGTGACCACAAATGTTTTCAGCTCAGATGTTTCTGTGAATGGTGTGGGCAGTTTTCATCTGAACAGAACAGCAGCATTATGTAATGCAGAAGAGTATTTCCTAACATGTGGTTTGTTTTGTATATTTCAGGAGGTGAAGATGATAATTCTTTCATTACAAATTTTCAGTCTTCCTTTTTGAAGTGTTTAATTGCTTTGCTGTTCATTTGCATAATAGAGGAATCCTTAGAGAAAAGGATTGGGTATTGAGATGAACAGCAACAGGCCTAATCATATTTAAATAGAGCTAGCATATCCTGTCTTATTGAGAGCACAAACTAGAATTCATATCAGTTGATAATTAGTTCCGTGTCTGACAAAATACCTTTTTGAATGCAGGTAGTTGAAATTGCCAGGTGCTGTTTTCCTAAATTCATTTTTAGAACTGAGAATTTAATAGTTTAATATTTACCCCTTCATTTTGGATATTCTTCTCCTCACCCAGCCCCCAGAAGGACTAAACAGCAGAGGGAGTGAAAAGGAAAAAAATATTTGAAGTTAAAAAAAGTCCTGAAAGACAGGGAAAAAAGCACTGAGCAGATAGGAATATGGGAGTTGCTTGGTAGTATCAACCTATCGCTTGATTGGGTAGTGAGCATTTTGTTTGTAACAGAAAACTGCTGTTTTTCTAGCTATTGAATGGTGCAAGCAGTTAGGACATGGTCAAGAAAAATCTCACAGAGGATGGAGAAGCTGTTGAGATGAGGAGCTGCCTAATGCTGAGCAACAAGGAAAGTGATCAAAATGTATCAATATTCTTTGACCTTTAAGTGGTTTTCAATGTATGACTGAAGCCACAGTTGACTGAAAAAAACCAGAGACTGATGAAGAGCCTTTTTTAAGAATACCAGTGCTGTGTATGCTCTGGGAAGTTCTGAAAAGAATTATCATGATTCAGATGCTTTGAATTGTAGAAATCGATACACAAAGAGAGATATTCTATCCTTTTATAAGCGATGGGAAAATACGTCAAGTACACAGAAAGCTGAATTTCCCAATTAGTGTAAAAAAATTTTCCTCTAAATTTCTGATATAAAAAGGGATCCGATTTCCAAAGTGGAGTATCAGGAGCTGTCCAGCATCAGTGCCCTTTCCCAAGTTGTCCATGGTAGGAAAAACTAGGCATTTCTTTTTCCAAATAAACCAGGGAAGTTTTAACCTTCTTCAGAATGTTCTTTGCCTTTGGTTCAAACAATAGAAAGTTAGTTAAATATTCTTGGACAAATAAAGGCTTTTTTTCTGAAATTTGTCACTTAAACCTGATTAGAAGTTGTTAGTTAGGCTTGTTCAAATTAATCTGTGTCACATGGGACTTAAAAGTAGTCTCCCACGTCTCATGTTATGGAAACTTACTTTTATTTGAATGATAGTTGTGCATTTAAAAGTTAGCCAGATGAGAAGCCATAGAGGCTGCATCTAAGACCATATATGGTACTTCTGTAATTGAACTCCATGTGTGAAATTTAATGGGAAGTATTTAAAAAAATACTATCTTTTTTCCAAAAATTTTGTAGACTGCTGTAAACTTCACTTTTAAAAATGACAACTTGTTTTAGAAGGACTTCCCTCTACAAATAATATCACTTGCTTCATATCAAGGTGGAACTAAAGGCCAAATTATGGGAGTTTGTCATTAATCTGTCAACAGTTTAAAAACTTGGATAACTTATTTCAAAAGATCATTAAAGAAGTGCACCTAAGTGGGTAGCAAGGTAGGAGTAGTCAGAATTGTTTGTTTTCTTCTGTTATGCCTTTTAATTTTTATGAACGTACCATTATGGGGGCTTCTCTTCTCTTTTCTTTTCTCTTCTTCTCTTCTCTTCTCTTCTCCTCTTCTCTTCTCCTCTTCTTCTTCTCCTCTTCTTCTTCTCTCCTTCTTCTCTCCTCTTAGCAGGATTTGAACTAATTACCTTCAGAGATTTTCCTCATATTAAAGGCATAGTACATAAATGGGAGTCAACTTCTTTGTAGATCAGCATTTAGAAGGCATCATAATACACACTTTGCCAGTGGTTTGAGTAATTATTGCATGTGAGGCAGATGAGCAATTAAACTTGAGGATTCCTATGTTCCAATTCTTAAAAAAAAAAAAAAAGAAGTAGTGACTATAGAGCATAGCCTAACACTTTTTTTTTATCTTCATCAAAAAGCAGTTTGATAGAGTGGGTGAGTTATGTCTCTGGTATATTAGAAAGCTGGATTCTACCTACAATTTTGCCTGCAGAGACTTTGATGGTCTCTGTTACAGTTACTGGTAAAGTGGATGAATAAAATTTGTGTGCAGTTTAGTAGCATTATCAAGGGTTAATAAT